AGATCTATGGTACAGCAGATCTATGGTACAGTAGATCACAGCGAGGGACGTTTCAACAACTTTATTCTTCTGTTATCTGACGTTTGGGAGAAATCCCAGCTGAGGAGTTACAGTATGACATCATCACTGTGTCTGACACTTGATGTGATAGTGGTAAATATACTGTGCTTTCAAACCGTCGGTCTTTGTTCATTCACGCTACAAATCTGCTCCGTGTTCACACTCCCCTGTGTGACGGCGTTGTTTGTATTCGTGATCAGCTAAAGAAAAGATCAACAAAAACAGTTGCGGCACAAAATGGGTCCTAAAATTGAACAGGGGGGGGGGGGGGGGGGGGGGGGGGGGGGGGGGGGGGTGTGGTGGACTAGAAATAAAATCCTAGATCGCTTTTAGCCTTTTCTACACAATCTACTGGGGAAATGTAGGTATTCAGGGAAAAGGCAGAAGTATAATGATAATATAAATTAATACATAATTTGGATGAGTTTGGCGGGACGGATTAAAAAGCCAAGCAGGCCACAGTCGGCCCCCGGGCCGTAGTTTGCCCATGCCTGTGTTAGATACAGTTACATTATTCTAAAAATGGGGGTTGTACCCATGATGCATCATCAACCAAAATAACTGTAATAATCGTGCGATGCCGTGTCACTACACAACAGAACTGTTGGATTAAACACAGGTTTCAGCCCCGCCCACAGCTGCTGCTGCTGTTCCCCACACACGTGGACACATTGTCCAACATACGGCTCATGCCCACAAAATATTTTGTGCATCTGGGCCTGTGATTAGCACAGTCTGTCGATAAGCAGGGAATAAACTGTGCTCATGTTTTCCTAATGAATGATTTGCAACAGAATTATTCAACAGCAGCAGCAGCAGCAGCAGAGTCAGGATCCAAATTTAGACTCTACTACAATGGCAGCTAAGGTTTGAAAAAAACAATCCATATTTAAGCCGTTTGTTCCTCACAGGCTGGTTCCACTCCTCATGCTGGGCATGTATGTCGGCAGCAAATAACATTAACACTGCACATGTTTGGCGAGCAGCTCAACGCCAGCACACCCTGACCTTGACAGCTGTAGGTACACATGGATTAAGTGCCTTGCTCAAGGACAGAGCAGTGTACATTTATTCAAGGGACAGGAAAAAGTGTGCATTCAGCATCTGCATCAACCTACATGTGTTCTGGGGTCCAAACCTAAGGCCCGTGACCTTGACTGGCCCAGCTGTTTGCCCTGTAAACTGCTACATTAGATGATTATGCGTCACCTTTCCTCTCTCTCTCTCTCTCTCTCTCACACACACACACACACGGCCAAATGCGGCCGCTTTTCATCAGAGCCAAAAAGTACAAAACATAAACAAAGGCAGCGCAGCTGTCAGCACACATTTCCAAAGTGCAGTAAATGTGTCTGGGGAGGAATATATTTTCTCCCCTTTTTTTTCCATGAATAACTCCCAACATTTGTATTTGCAGACTTGTTTGATCATTCACCCAATGAGAGCGGAGTACAGTTCAGTCATGGTTCACATTGATCTCAGGGTCAGGGAGACGGCGCTCACCTGCATGCACAATGTTCCCGTGAACGTCGGAATAATAGGAAAGAAAAGCCGTGTGGTTTAGATGAAAATATATAGGAGGCGCTGTGGTTACACCAGCACAATAATAAACTGTTATCATCTAGTGCATACGTGTCAAACTCGAGGCCCGGGGGCCAAATGCGGCCCTCCAAGCTGTTTTGTGAGGCCCGCGGCAGCTTAACAAGCATTTAGTAAAGTCCATGAAGCAGAATTTCTTAACCTGAGAAATTTCAAATATATATATAACACAGCAATGAACAATATTTGTAGCTTGAACAAATATTAATCAATTGCAGAAACATGTATTAGTCTGTTATGGAGTAGTTACATCTACACCAGCGGTCCCCGACCTTTTTAGTTCCAAAGACTGGTTAGCCAGTACCACCTGTTACTACAGACTGGTACCAAGGTTCTGAGCATTTTATTTTCAAAATAAAACATCTTTTAGACTCCATTCCGTTTGTATCAGAGTTTGAATGACCTATTATTTTCAAATATTGTCAAATTATCACTAAAAAAAGGAAGTAAATGGATATGACTGGACTTTCTTTGAATAAAGTAAATAAGTAAAAAAATACCTTTGGGCTGGTACTGGTCCGTGAACCGGGGGTTGGGGACCCCTGATCTATACAGTCTTCCATTCACAACCGGCCCTTTAAGGGGAATTGTATTGCTGATGTGGCCCCTGGTGAAAATGAGTTTGGGAGTCTCTGTAGTTTAGTCGTTTATTTCAAACTTTACTAAACAAAAATAAAGGACATGTTTTTGTGTTTACGCAGACAAACTTAACCTGAGTCATCGAGTGACGGCCGGCTTTGTTTAGGTCAACCTTACAGTATTACTGCTGTTGGCTAGAAGATAGTGTGAATGGTCGTCACTGAAGCAGTTACTGTATAAAGAGGCCAAATGG